TAGTTTGTACAGATATTGGGTAGAGATAACCCTAGACTTGAACAGGTTAAGGTTGTAGTAATCGTGGAAACATCCAATTGGAAGTCGGTTCCACAGGGCAGTGGTTCGCAGCAAGAAACTGTTCTAGTGGAACTCACTTCATAATTAATATTATAAACACGACCACAATGTACTGACTGTGTTCGGGAATTAAAACATGATGATGATCAACATCATTGTGATATTATCGTCATTATTTTCAACTTTAACAACATTATCGCTGTTGTCATTCTAATCCGTAACAATACTATCATCCTCATTCGTGTTTTTAACAATCATCATCATTGCAATAATCTTAAAAAAATATTACCGATATTATTTTCATCTTTAACACTATTATAACCGTCATTCCAATCTTTAACGACATGGTGTAATGGTTAACAAACTTGTTTCGCTAGATCAATTACTACTGAGTTCAATACTCACTAGGTGCTCCTTACTTTCGTTTATGTGCCACATTTAAGCGACACTTGGAAAGTCACTTATGCACTTCGAAGTAGTGTAATGGTTAGCTAACTTGTCTCACTAGATTAATTATAACTTAATGAGTTCGATCCTCATTGGGTGCTCCTCATTTTTTCCTTGTGTCACACTTAAGCTACGCTTAGAAAATCATTTAGGCACTTCGAAGTAGTGTAATGGTTAGCTAACTTGTCTCACTAGATCAATTATGACTTAATGAGTTCGATACTCACTGGGTGCTCCTCACTTTCGTCCTTGTGCCACACCTAAACTACGCTTAGAAAATCGTCTTTTGAATCTTTAACGTCATCGTCATCAGAATTCCAGTTGCCATCATTTTCATCTTAAGCAATATTATAATCATGAATGCAATTTTTGATAAAAATTTTTCTACCTTTTAACGCATGTGCCATTTTGTCCGAAATTTCAACCAACTTTGTTGATTTTGTTCTTCACGTTTTTCCTTTTAATAACAAACATTTCTTACCCAGTTTCAGCTGATTGGCACATTGTTAGCGAACCTCACTTGTCAAATTCCACATATTCAATCTAATTCTTGTATGAATATAAATCAATTCTCAACACAATCATCATCATCATCATCATCATCATCACCAGTCCCTCGGCTGCTTCAGCCGTTGGTGGGGAAGACCCGGGGGCTGAAGAAACTGACTTTGATTCTTCTTCCTCATGAGCCTTTCATTGGGCTTTTAGATAGCTTGGCGGCGCCCATCTCCTCTCCAAGCTCTTGACCGACAGCCGAAGACCACGGGATATGGCGTGGTCTACCTCGGTCCGTATATTAGAGCCTCAGGCTTTGAATTCACAGTTGTCCTTCTCCTAGACCCGTTGCCACCCAAGGCTATAGTCTGTTCTGCTATTTACCCCTAGCCTGAGGGATAAGAGATGGAAACATACCTTTCACAAGGTATTAGCACGTAAATGAATGTAATGGGATTCGAACTCGGTTCTCAGATTCCTTAATCTGAGGCCTCTATCCATTACTAAATCAACATGTCGGGCGTAACTATTTTTCTTTCCAGAATCTACTACAAATTATATACATATATACGGACATGCATCTATGTTTGCGTTAGCACGATGACATCACGACTCCCATAATAACACCAATACACGGAATCTACATAAACCCAAAATTTTTTAAAAATTAATCAGTTTGTCTGACGATCGCAAAAGCGTGAAACCCAGGGTCACAAGCTCACATCAATCCAACCAAATATATATATATATATATATATATATATATATATATATATATATATATATATATATATATATATATGGGTGTGTGTATTATAAATTATATATATATATTGTGGAACAGTTTTAATATTTTATATTATTAGGATACATTTTGATTACTTAGCCACGGATTGTTACACACACACACACACACACACACATATATATATATATATATATATATATATATATATATATATATATATATATATATATATATAGAGGTAAAAAAAGAAAGTACTGGTTAATGAGGGTGACATAGCACTACCCGGAGCCTCCAGTCGGCAGATTCATGTGTAAATACACATCGACCCTTTATAGACGAGAGATTGAATGCATTGCAAACTATGTTACTATAAGCAATCACTGAAAAATATTACTGTATCGAAATATATTGTAAGTAATTTCCGATACGATCTCCTCTTATATCTAATGCAGACATTGTTAAATAAATAGGGACTTTTATTCCTTCTAATGATTTCGTATATAATCACAGCAAATTCTAAAAGCATATATAGAATGTATTTCAAATTATCTTTGTATAAGAATTCATTGGAAATTGTTTTACTATAGAAATGCATTAGGAATTGATTTTTCACACACGCTAGTGATGAAAGCTATTTGAATACAAATGACATTTATTAAACAAATGCTTGCAATCTTTTCTTTCCTATCATGAGTGCTTACATAAGGATACGGTAAATTCTAGAAACTGAAATAGAATACATTACCAATCATCTTACTGTAAAAAAAAAAACTAATTAGTAAATGTTTTACTACAGAAATGCATAGAACATTAATTTCAAATGCAATGTCAATCGCTATTTAGTGTCCCCTTGGCTACTCTTTTTCTCTTTCTGCTCATTATTAATGTTTCTATTCCTAATTCTTCCGCACCCTATAACCCCTTGTGTTTTAGTGGTTTTACTGGGGGTGATACTGATTTAAAAAATAAATAAATAAAATAAAAAATATGTATATATAATGATACGGTAAATTCTAAAAACATACAAAATGTATTTCAAATTATCCTTGAATTCATTGGAAATTATTTTACTATAGAAATGCTTTGGGAACTGATTTTTCACAAGCTCTTGATCTAAGCTATTTGAACACGAATAACATTTATTAAACAAATGCTTGCAATCTTTTATTCCTTCTAATTGCCTACCGCTATAAGGTTGCCTCTCTGTGCCTTTTATATATATATATATACTTTCATGGTAATTGTTCGGATGTGCTCTTCGCTATGGTACCTAGACTTTATGAATTTAAGCGCAGTACTAGACTGGCATCGAGATTTACAGTTGGGCTGGCTCGTAAGCCGTAAGTTCTATGCTAACAGTTTCTTTTTCTCGCACTTCTCGCTTGTACAATTTACTTCCGGCTCCATGCTTTCCAGTCAACTTTAATCTGCAAAAATTTAAATGCCAAGATAATGGCCGAAGCGAATTCCAACGAGAGAGTACGTGTTTTCAGGCTTCTCGCAGAACGGGCAATGCTGGCCACAGGCAAACCTGAATAATACAAGGTCAAACAGCTAATGGAAACAAAATATGAACACCATTTAGATAAATGTTTCATCTATTTCAAACAGACATATGTATTTGGATGTCGTCCTCGATGTCATGACTTTTAAGCGCTAAAAGAATACGTTTTTAGCAAGCCTCTATTCTCTGTCTCGTTATGTAATGTATTTTATATATAAACTATGTTTTTACAGCGTTCACATTGTCTCACTTTGTTCATCAAGACACGATCAATTTAAGGAGTCGTTAAATTTCCCACATTGCTGTCTTTCTGATTACTCTTTTCTATTTCTGCTAATCATTAGTGTTTCTGTTCCTAATTCTTCCACATCGTGTAATTCCTTGTGTTTTAGTGGCATTACTGATTTGCTTGGGGAATATACCGATTTAAAAAAATTAAATCCCGGAGAACAAGAAAAGCCCGGAACCATAATATTTGTCTTTGTTTCCATGATAAATAAAACTTGAAAATGCCCTGAATATGCATAACGCCTAAATTTAAATTACATTAGTCACGTAACCCATTACAGTCGAAAGGGTATCATATCTACTGCAAACGTAGCAGCAGTTCCTAGTTCCAGATAACCTGTCGGAGCCCATCCCTCTTCACCTTGTTTCAGAGTTGCCCTTCTCTCAGTTTGCTTGCACTAGCAAAGCTAAAGTGTTCGGTCTACCCTTTTATTGATGGGGTTTTAATTTAGTTTTCTCTGTCCTAGTCTACCGGGGCAAGAATATCAAGTCGGTTTTTTTTTTTTTTTCTTTTTTTTTTTTCTCCTTTTCCTTTTTATTTCCATCTGCAGATAAAGGTAGGTGGATTCATGACTTTCCCAAATGCATCAGTGCCAAGTGAACAAAACAGACTCAGTCGGAATTTGAACCCGGTACTCTGATGCCGCATTCAGCCTTGAAATCCGTTGCGCGACCTGCATGTTCATAGCCACACACCCACCCACTCCCCAAATTAAAATACCTTCCAAGCTCCGCTAATCGAAACACTTTGTCCTCCCATGCTGCAGAAGTGCAGTTTGGAAGCGAACATTACGCAAAACAAAAACAAAAAAAATGTTTTATTTCGCTGAAGGTAATGAAGACATAAAGAAAAAAAATATATACATGAAAAATAATTAGCAGAAAAAAAAAAACTAAATTAAAAAAAAAAATCTCGGAATATCTTCGACTAAATTCGAACTCGCGTTTTCACGTGATACCAGCACATATGGAAAATTTTAGCCGCTGGATCCCAAAAAAAAATGTCTGATTTATAATGGCGTTTTGTTTTGATTTCAAATCGTCTTTGATTTGGTCTTCATCTTATAAAAAAAAATGAAGTGTAACATATTATTACTTCGGCCACTCCTATTAAACGCGGCTGGTACGAGTGGGCGACAGGTTTACATTCTTAGAGTGCAGTCAAGCGTTACTTGATGTGGCCACGTGTTGGGGTTGGGGTTGGTTGAGCGTGCGCATCAAGAAAAAAAAAACTATTCTCATTTCTCACGCATGCGCCGACATACGAAGAGTCACGTGCTGGCTGCAGCTTCCGGCTCTAATGGTTATGTATTCATAAGACGGAGGTTCGCAGTAATGACGAACGTTTCTCTCCTTCCTTTTCTATATTTATATTTCACTTTCCTTGTTTCTTTCCCCCCTCTCTCTCTCTCAGATTTTGTTTCTCTTGTTTTTTTTTTCTTTTTTTTTCTGATGTAGATGGACACTCCCCTTACGTTTGTCGTCTGTACACATTTCTTTTTTTTTTTTTATACTCCTGCATTGGCCGGAAAGGCATTACTAGGTTTAGGAAGTCTTTTACACGTGCTTTCTAAATTGTTTAACCCCGGGTGACGACGTTTTTAACGATAGAGATAAAAAGATCAGGAGGAAAAAATGTTTCCAACAACTCTGTTTGCAATTATCTCTTTCTTCTTGATTTTTTCTTCTTTTTTTTTTTCTATTTTTATTCTTCCATTTTTTTCCACCTCTAGAAAAGACAAAAAAGGGAGTCCGTCAATTGCTATGCCTAAAAAACGCACACCGCTTTAGATAAACGTAGCTATAGCAATGCCTTCAGCGAACCACCTCCCATGCTATCAACATCAAAGACTGTGTACCTTTGCTAGCAACGTAGAACCATAGCTGACATCACACCAGTTTTAATTGCACCGCTATCGACGGCATAGTTACACCAGTGCACAATGTCCACAGATCTGCCAGTAGGCATTTCATTTCTCGCTTTGGCATGCAAAACATCCTAAGGAGATCATGTTGGTGACTCTTGTGCTCCAAAGGTTAGTGAATTTGTCCGTTGAGTTGTTTATACTGGTCAACCCGACGTGAATCTGTTTAAAAATGAAAAATCTAATTCTTTGACGTGCGAAATAACTTTTTTTTGCGCTCAATTAAACATACTCAGATTTATATCCCGTATTTCGTATTTCCTGCCATATAACCCGCATTAAAAATATATATAGCCCGCATTAAAAATATATATAGCCCGCATTAAAAATATATATAACGTTGTGCCTAGATTATCACCGGTTGACTTATATCTAAAAGGCCCTATCAGTTGGAGTAAAAAAATACACTATACGGCAGCAAGGCCTCTAATCGGGGGATTGGTGGGTTTGAGGAGCGTGGTAACACCTCTTAATTGCTGCTCTCAGGTCCACCCAGACTCGGGGCAGTAGCAACTGTCAGGGTTACAGTTATAGGTAAATAGTGAACGCTTAAACAAACAAACAAAGAAAAAACATTATCAAAGTATAAAAAAATACATAAAATACATTTTTATAGTAAAAATACCAGTAATACATTTTTATATAAAAAAAATTACCAAAAATACATATTTATTAGGTTGGTTAAAAAAAATAATGACGTAATAATGTCGTTTTTGACGTTAAAAATACGTCAAAAAACGACATTATTACGTCATTATTTTTGCACCAACCTAATATAATAAAATATCCAACAATACAGTTTATAGTAGAATTACCATCAATATATTTTATCTATAGTTGAAGGCATACAATTACGTTCGAAATATATTTAGTTAAAGCCATGAAATTGTGTTCAAAATATTTAGATTCTGGCATTAAATAACTATTGCACTGCAGCTCCGACCAGACACCAGGTTCGCAGACAGTTCCTTGCAGTCAAACGCTTATGGTCTAAAAATAACCATTCGGCCAGATCGTTACCTACGAGTGAAAAACAAACTAATTTCTAGTAATAAACCAGATTTTATTCTTAAGTAGAACTTTACAACTATAAGCGAGCGAAGGCGGGTTGAGGCGTAAGCGAAGGGGCAGGAGGTGCGTAATTCAGTGGCCGTAGTCTGTCTTTCTGCGTGGCCCGCTCTGTACCTCTGTTTTTTTTGGGGGGGGGGCGTGGCATGGTCAGCTTTATAGACTGTTATGTTGACCTACTTACATGGAAATGAATTCTTCCTCCTTCATAAATACCAACCTGCGAGACTTCCTAAGTGGGGACAGCCGAGATGCAGTGTAACCTGACAGTTTGGACGGACACTGCTATCTGCTGACTAATCACACACCTACTTTTGTACATATCTGTTATTTCAATACACTTGTTCAACCTACCTTTTTCTTTCTGTGTTCTTCCTTTCTGGTCCCTAACAGGCCACAACATAGACAACAGTTTTCTTTGTCCTGTCATCTTCGTCTCAAAAAAAAAAAAAAATAACAAAACAAAAAAACAATCTTCCTTCCGTCACTTAGTCTCAGTCTTGGGGGGAGAAGATGTGGATTCATGTCTTCTTCAAGAGTACCTGCGCGTAACTGAATATATCGAACCCGACTGGAATTAAACCTCGGCTCTCCGATTAACAATTCCGAGTTGTTATCTATGACACCAACCACATATCCAAGCTTACAGCACCTGGTATTCCCAAACGGACACCCATCTAAGTACCGCCAAGGCTCGACATTGCTCAACTTCGGTGGTCGTACAAAAACAGGAGTTTCAACGTGATGTGGCCATAAGCCAAAAGGTGCAGGAACGGATGGTAGATAGTCAAAGGTTGCTTTGAGCTACAAGGTACAAGCAACTGTTTGACAGACATGATCGCCGACGCCCTGGAGAATTAACCTACCCAACTACAATACGTCTTTGCACTAATTCCGCTCAACTGCATATTAAATTCAATATGCAAATTAAAAATCGGGGATACCAAAAATCGAACAAGTACAAAAATTTAAATATCTTGGAAGTGTTCTAACAGAGGACGGAAAGTGCGGCACTGAAATCTGAAGACGCATTGTGATGCCAAAGGCTAAGTAGTGTATTAAGAGATACAAAAACTTCATTAGAAACAAAGAAAAGAGTGAACTGTTACTTGATATCTGTCCTCCTATATGGCAAAAAATGCTGGACAATCTCCTTAAAGATGAAGAAGAGACTTGAAGCAACAGAAAAAAGGTTATACAGAAGGATGCTGGTGATAACATGGTCTGAACATGTTAGCAACGATGAGGTTTTAGAGAAAATGGAAATAAATGCAAAATTATACTTAAAATCAGTGTTGAAATTACTGGGATACGTTAGAAGGAAGGATGGTTTGGAAAATCTGATACTCAAAGGACAAATTGTTGGACAGATGAAGACAGGGAAACAGCGTATAACACACTTGATGGGCTTGAATAAATGGATGGTGGAACTGGGTTTAAGAGAAATAGCAAAAATAGAATTTTTTTTAAGAGCTACAAGTTCTATGATCGCCTACATCATGAGGGGGTCACGGCACATAAAAGGAGAAGACATATTAAAGAAATGCAAGCAGGGTTAAAGGTTGGAAAAATCTTTTGCGTAGATCAAGAAAGAAGTGGATTCTCTCATAAAATCAGAATCTTCAGTTAAGTTTTAGAAATAGAATTTGGTATTGCGACTACGTATAATGTCGCTAATAATTAAAAGGAAAGAAAGGTAATATAAGAAAATGAACGACACGACCATGAAGTGGCTTGTTCATTTTAACGTCTCCAAAATTAAAACTGCTCTCCTTTAATGGCTTCCGACAACCTTGCTCTCCCTTCCATCAGCATGGTTGATGCTAACCGTCAGGAAAGTGACGTTACGATCTTTCGAGCTAAAGTTTTCCATTGACATGAAGTTGAACGATTATATTGAATCAGTTACTAGGTTTACCGCTAGGAAAGTTGGTTCACTCTGTCGCTCTAGACAATTTTTTTCCCGGCAGAATCAATCTTACACATTTATAAGTCTACCATTCGATCATGCTTTGAATATTGCTTCTTCTATATATATTTAAAGATTCTTAACAACATCTAAAAAAACAAACAAACAATCTGCAATGTTATTAGTCCTAGCCTGGCATCTCGTCTTCAGTTACTTTTCATCCGCCGAAACGTAGCTTCACTGACTCTTCTATAAATATTTTTATGCCAACTGTTCTGATGAGCTTTCTTCTTTAGTACCGTGACTTTATGGATCTAAACGCAGTACTAGATTGTCAGTTAAGTCTCAAATTACAATAGAAATGGCTCTATATAACCATAAGTTATGTGCTAAAAGTTTCTTCTCTCGCACTTCTCGATCGTGAAAGTCTCTTTTGGCTTCTTTTTTTCCAGTCAACTTTGATCTTCAAATTTAAATGCAGTGTCAATCCTCATCTTCTAATTCTTTAAATCCTGTTCTTTTATTCCCCTTTCACCTTAATAATGATTTTCTCAAATGTTTTTATTCTCAGTAATCACTTGCGTCTTCGTGGCTTCCTTGAAATTTTAATAATTATGAGAACTGATACTACATTTTAATCTTAGCTAGAAGGGCGGGAATATTTACTTGCTTCCCTTTTTCACCCATGGCGGTAAGATAGGGCACGAAGTTGTTTTATTTTCGGATTGCTCACGGCCAATCCGAAAATTTGACAGTCCTCGGAAGCGCTGTCACGTCGGAGTCGGTATTCCAACGACCCTCTTTCCTTTAGGGCAATGACGATGATGGTTAGTTTTCAATCCCAGGCATCCATCAAAGCTGTTTCTGTGAGGTGCTTGATGGCAGAAACCCAGCAGAGAGACACTTCACTTTGCTCTCGGCTGGAAGGTTATGTAAAGGCTGGGTAGGTACGAACCCAACGATGCCTACTGCTAGAATGTGGGGTAGGTAAAGGAAAAATGCCCAGAGTCCTAATTCTCCGAACCAGGCACCCCCACCCATAAATTTAATGGAAAGAGAAAACAGATACTGTTCTCCGATTCTAGTCATAATTGCCGGGTGTTGGCACTCGATCCTAACTAAAGCCATTAATATGAATTTAATAATAATAATAATAATAACAACATACTGTAGCGGCAAAGAACTTTAAAAAAGGAAGCAAAGGCAATGTACCAAATGCAGAAACGATGGCAAGGTAAGCCTCCTTCCACTGACTTAAACTAAAGTCACTCACATTTTTCCCATACATAAAGTTCTTCGTAATGTGTGAGCTGTACTTCCGGTTCATAAAGCCATTTCTGACCTTAGTTCACTGGCTGAGACCCGGAAGGAAACGTGTATACAACAGAAATCAAAGGAAATAATAATCTCTATCTATAAAAGGCAGGATGTGTGTGTGTGTGTGTGTGTGTGTGTGTGTGTGTGTGTGTGTGTGTGTGTGTGTGTAACGAATGCACGGCCGCAATTTTCAACGGATTTGCACCAAAATTTACATGCACATACTCCAGTTAGTGGGAAGGCCAAGACCGACTTTGCATTTCCCAACTCCCATCGATAGTGAAAATAATCGATTTTTTCATGCTTCTACAGCAGTTTTCATGTATTTTGCGGCCATTTTATACTAGCGAGAATGAGCCTATAGCTGGCTGCCACGAATAGGCAGAAAGATTCTATTGGCCAGCGTGAGAGCCAACAGCTGACTAACACGAATGTTAACTAGCATGCGAAAAAATCGATAGCTGCATTCGTCACAAGTGGGGAAAATTTAAATCTGCAATTGGCTCATTCGCTTGCTTAAACTCAACGTTGATTCTGATTCCGCAGAACTGGGTTGGGTGTGAAAAAGTATTTGTTGTTAACATTCTTTTTCAGTCGGTTTTTCCAGTTACGAGTCCTTTTTTTAAAGCTGATCGTTTTGTGTCCATTTTGTTTAGTTCTTTTTTCGTAACAGATTTAATGTTTAGTATAGAGCTTCGAAAAAAAAGTAAGGCATGTAGCAACATCAGCACGGAAAAGGGCACTCCTTTAAAGGCAAGGAAGGGCAAAAATATTTTAAGTCAAGTGATAGCGATTGCTGTATGAGTCGTACGATTTTTGAATCAAGCTCGGGCAACTCCGGGCCATGCTGCTAGTAATAATAATAATAATAATCAAGTACTCAGCAGAGTAGCCCTCACACGGTTGTCAGACAGAGACCAGCTCCCAAAAATTTATATGATGAAGTCCAATAAGCACATTGTGCAAATATACAACGCTGCTCTGGAAACACTGTTAACGAATAAACCACTGGGAAATATCACAAAAGTTAACAACATCATATACGCAACAGCTTTAGCAGCTACTGGGAAGCTTGGGGTCAAGACAATGAAAAATAATAGCAGACATAGAGAGCCAGCTTGGAAGGCAAAACTGATGCGAGAAATAAGGGAAATCAGATGTGAGTTTTCTTTATTAGATGAGTTCCCTAGAAATCCAAATATTTCCACACGCAAATGCAAGGAGATCAAGCGAAAATATAAAATTAAATCCCTAATTGAAATTCCATCAATCAAGGAAATGCTGAAACAGAAACTTCAGTTGAAGGCACAGAGAACAAGACGATCCGAAAAACTTTGTAGGTTCTATCGCCAAAATAAAATATTCCAAACGGACCTTAAGAAATTTTACAAGGAAATTGGAAAAACACCTATACATGTCGAAAAGCCACCATATATGGACAATGGGCAGACATTTTGGGGGAATATATAAAGCAGCCCAAAGGGATATAACACAAATGCAGAATGGATCCACCGTGAAGAAGGACGAATACTGGATACACCTATGCAAGAGTTGGAAAATATAACAAACAAATAATGTTAGGCAAGCTCTAACGAAGTCCCAAAAATGGAAATCCCCAGGAAATGACAAGGTGCCCAATTTATGACTCTATCATCTCTCATCAAGCCATAAAACCCTTGAAAAAACTCTATCAACGCTCATAAATAATCCCAATGAAATCCGGGATTGGATCACTGAAGTTATTGCATACCTCATGCCAAAAACGAGTGAAACTGATGATCCGAAAAATTATAGACCAATAACATGTCTCCCCACTACGTAGGTAGATTACGTCTGTCCTGACGAACCAAACTTACTCCTTTATCGAAGCAAACAGCATTCTTCCACTGGAATAGAAGGGAATGCAGGAGAGGTTCATATGGCTGAAAAGATCAGCTACTGATAAACAAAATGATCCTGGAAAATTGCAGGAGACGATGTAGAAATCTTAGCGCAGCGTGGATTGATTATCGTAAAGCCTTTGATAGTGTGCCACACTCTTGGATTCTTAAAACTTTGAAAATGTACAAAGGTTCCCCTGTGGTAGTGAATTTCCTTAAGCACAGCATGTAAACGTGGAACACTACACTATACCTAAATCACACCAGTGGCACTGTCATCTCCAACAGTCTGAATGTCCGACGCGGAATCTTTCAAGGAAACTCCCTCTCACCCCTTCTGTTTAGTTTGTCCTTAATCCCCCTTATGCATGAACTAAACAACACTAGCTATGGTTACAAACTAGACAAAAAATATTCAGTCACCTATTGGATGATCTCAAACTCTTTGCCAAAAACGACAATGAGTTGAAGGGCCTCCTTAATATTGTAAAATGTTTCAGTGACGACATAGGCATGGACTTCGGATTAGATAAATGTGCAAATGTAACATTCAAGAAAAGGAGAGTTATAGAAAGACCCTCAATAGATTTAGACTTTGTCACAAAGATTAGGGAACTGGAACAAGATGAAGCCTGTAAATACCTAGGAA